GAAAATTGTCATTCAAGCCCAGGTTGCGGCATGTTACCGGAATGGAATCAGGCTTAAATGATATAGACGTGATGGGCCCTGTCGAGATCTATCATTTGGTACTAAAACTGTCTGAATATCTCATTCTAGGGACAAGTTATCAGCCGTCCCGCCATCTGCTTCGGATATTCAGAAGTTCAGAAGTTCAAATTTTCAAAAAATTTTCAATTTTTGGGTAGATCAAATAATTGTTTCGAGCTATAGAAACCGCGAAAATACCATCTTTTTGCTATGTTTCCCTCATTTTCTTTCAAAATCGAATTTTTTTTTGAATCGATTTTGCAAAATTTCAGAGATTCATCCACTATTTTTGAAACATTTCCCTGAAAATTCAAGTTTCCTGAATATCCTTTTTTTTTGGAAAAAAATTTGAGTCAGAATGGTAAACTATGGTAACCACTCTGGAAAAGTGCCACCCAAAGTGTCGATTAAAAATCCGTATATTTCGGTTCCTACAAAAGATATCAAAAAGTAAATAACAGATAAAATGATACTGATAATACGAAGAACATTTTTTCAGTTGGCAGTTTCTGCATATCTTTCACAGGAACCGAGATATATAAACTTAAAGTTTAATGGAACTCTGAGGGGGAAATCGTTCTCTCTCTCTCTCTCTCTCTCTCTCTCTCTCTCTCTCTCTCTCTCTCTCTCTCTCTCTCCTTCTCTTTTTCTAACAATGTTCATTTTTCAGAATGAGTTCTTCAAAAAATCACAAATCCGCTTTCAAACTCTGGCTCTCAGACTCGCGACCATTTCTAGAAGAACGATTCAAAAATCTATCGAATGAAGAATTGAGCAAAAAAATCTCTGAAATTTGGAGGACAGGATTACAGCCGGATGTCAAAAAATCGTATTTGGAAAAAGAGAAAGAATTAAAGGAAAAAGGAACAATGTCTTCGAATTTTTCATTTTGGATTTTGGCGAAATTACGGGAAAATGGTCTATTTGATGAGAGGATGAGTGTGAAGGAGAATTGGAAATATTTAAAGGAGGAAACCAAAAACTGGTATAAAGAGGAATTTGTGAAATATAGATCCAATCCTGTGGAGGTGAGCTTTTTGAGTTTCTGAAATTCTATATTCTCAAATTCCTAGATTCCTTGAATTCCAGATTTCTGGATTCTTAGATTTCTAGATATCGACGGACTCAGGGATCCAGGGATCTAGAGATCTAGGGACTCAGGGATCCAGGGACTCAGGGATCAAGGGATCCAAGGATCCAAGGATCCAAGGATCCAGGGATTCAGGGATCCAGGAATCTAGCGATCTAGGGATCCAAGGATCCAGGGATTTAGGGATCCATGGATTCAGGGATTCAGAGGTCCAGGGAGGTTGATTACTACATTCAATTTAAATTTTGAAAAAATGGGAATTATGGGATTTCTGAGGTTTTGGGATTCTTGGGATTCTTGTGGTCCTTGGGGATCATCGGGTTTCTTGAACTTTTTTGTTTCTTGGGATTTTTGGAATTTTAAAGATTTTTGGGATTGTTTGACTTTTTGGATTCTTGGATACACGAGTTTCTAGATTCCTAGATTCCCAGATTCCCAGATTTTCAAATTCCTAGATTCCTCTATTCTAGAAATTTTTAGAATTTAAAATTTATAGGTCTCTAGATTACTGAATTTCAAATCTTCGGAATTTCTGAATTATTGAAAATTAATTTTCCAGAACATTACAAACTACTCGACTTCTATAGCATTTCAATTAGAGCACGTCGGTTCTGAAAATCAATATTTCCATGCTGAAAATCAGCAAAATGGGCAATTTTCCGAAAATTTTGAGACAATTAATGGGACATATCAAACAGGTACAGTAACTTTTTGGAAACTTTTTAATAACAAATTTCAGAATCTCAATATTCATGTGATGACGTCAGTTATCAAAATTCTGACAATCAGAATTTCTCAAATGGTCCTTCGACTTCTGAATCCTTCGTTTTTGAAATTCCCACGCCTTCTTATCGATCGGCAGTCAGACGGCTTCAGTTTCAGGATTCTGAAAATTTCGAGATGAATTCTAAAGAAGTCCCACAGGATTCAGGAATGCAGAATCCGATTTTCA